AAATCAAGCCCATAAATGAAAAGAGTTTATACCGTTTAGCAATTTCTTAAGAATTGAAGGCGATTGGCTATATATTATAAGAGAAGCGCCGAATTTGCAAGATTTTCTAAAGAAAGTGACCGTGGTGGGCATAATGTTGCCAACTACTGAAAGTTTTCTACAGATTTTGTAATTTTGAAATGGCGATATCTCAAAATATAAAGGCGTTTTACCTTGGTTTTTTATATTTTTTAAGAGCAATATAATCTTGCATTATATAAGTTCAGATTGCTTATTTTTTATCGATAATTTGGATATAAGCAAAAAATGTCACTGTACGTCCAACTATATACAGTTATTTCAAAAAACGTTGTCGGGGAGAACGGCAAACGGCGATTGTCGAAGGGAGATTGCACGACCGAAAGGGACTATGGTTACATTGTTTTGATAAACAAAATTTCACTTATTGGATTCACCTTACATAGTAATGGAGACTAAATGGAGCCAATGTTTATCACAGACCATCTTACAGTACAAATCAGTTGTTATTGCCTTTCAATTAGCAAAACCCATGGCCACTTGGTCGTGCAATCGCCGTTCGACCATTGACATTCGCCATTTTACCCGACAGCCTTTTTTGAAACAGCTATATATTTATCATATTTTTCTGAAATTGTTTTAAGTTTTACTTCAAAARACTTTTTCATAATCGTGGGAATATATTTAAGGYGAAGTACCCTTACTATAAGTCTAAAACGTACTGCACRATAAACGGTAAATTCAGTGAAAACTAGGTTTTTGAACGAAACTAGTTTTCACTGAATTTACCGTTTATTGTGTACGTTTTAGACTGAGGGTACTTCATCTTAAATATATTCCCACGATTTATCATATTATTATCTATGAAATACCTATATTTCTACATTCCGTAAAATTGATATTTTCACTAGTGAAAATAACACATTCGAGGTTTCTCTATATAGTAGAAGTAAGAAAAAAAGGTATTTTACGACATAATTTGCTTTCGTATGTAATTATATGATAAACAGAGTATTACATTGTCGCTTGGAGATACGAATTTTATCTTCTCGTGTTGAGAATCTCTCACTCGACTCGTTCGCTACGCTCTTTTTAAAACTAGAAGATAAAATCCGTATTCCGCGCGCCCATGTAATATTCTCTATGTAGCCAACAAGAGATCAAAGAGTAACAAATAATGTTACACTTTTCTYATAACTTTTTCCCGCCACAATTTATAGAAAGAAAGAAATTATATGAAATGTAATAGATTTATTTTGAAAAGAATTTGCCGTGGATGCTGTAAATAAACTTCTTTTTGTAAATACTGTAAAAATCGTTAAGAGTTGTAAAATTGTAAATTAAAACAAATCTACAAAACATTATGATCATCAGTGAAGAAATGTGATAAAAATGGATTTKTTCATTTTTTTAATTGCATTTTTTCTTCTTCAAACTTATGAAAGAAATATTACAATGGGCAATGTGCAGCGATGCCATTTTKCACAGCAAAGCATATTCGCGCCTCGGCATAAGCATACGTCATATCTGTTAATTCGTTGGTTGATTGGTCAGATGTTTTGCTAATTTATTGGTTGGTTCATTGGCTGGCTAAGTGGCTACATATCCTTGATGGGGGCTCTTAGGAAGGGTGGACGAAAAGYCCCAGACCTCCACCCAGTCTCCTTCCTGCAGCTCTCCACTAGAGTCGTCGCGTTGGATGCGACGACTCTAGCAATATGATAGCGATATAGCAATGTTGGCTTTTCCATTGGCTATTATTGCCCCCAGACAGTTCTCTCTCCGCACATTCTCGCACTCTTTCATTCTCAGTTTCCCAACGGTAAATGAATGATTCTTTGATTTGGTTCAAAAATTAGGATTAGGGTACGAGAATGCGCCCCTTAATGATGGCACGGGAAAYATGATTCGAATAGTMTCCTTCACGGTTCCCTGCGCCATCTTGAAAGGTAGCCGTGCCTTTGCATCGAAGCGGGACGACCGTTGAGCGTGCAATGATAGAACCTTCTTTCACAGCTACAGACAATTATTCACAGGCATCTATCATTGCACGCTCAACTGTTGTCTCGCTTCGATTTTAAGGCACGGCTACCTTTCAAGATGGCTCACGTAACCGTGAAGGAGATTTTTCTATGAAATGCTTT